ATTAACTCCATTTTGCAAAAATAAAAGAAGACATTAGATTTTGTGCGTAGCTACGAAAAGGACGTGTTTTAATTCGATACCACTAAGACCTGATATATTACAATACGTTTGTCAGAATATGCGAAAAACTATTTCTTAGCACATGATAATCATATGGGCTAGGGCGACTTTACCTTAGGTTTTTTTTTTAACAAATTATAACAAAAATTTGCTCCAGCTTTTGCTGAAAGGTAATTAAAAGCTCTGTGTACATTTTTATCGCATAATGCCAATTTTGAGTTCAGACTCTTTTGAAGACGGTGGGCGATATAGTCCCTTTGAATAAAGGATTTGTTCCATAAATTTTGTTTAATATATACTGGAATTTTAATGAAACCGCGGTTTATTTTGAATATTTGGGAATATTTGTCTATAAGATTTTTCTTTGGTCAGAATTCTCTCATTCATCATTTATTTGATTTTTAATATCTATATAGCATGTTAAAAAAAGTTAATTAATTTTCTATTGTGTAGATCAGTGGAATCGGCTTTATATATTTGATTCAATTTTTATACAAAAAACACATTTCAACACTACCAGACTACTTTTCCTACTACCTTTTCACAAAAGGGGATACAATGGTTACCCGCTTTTTCTTTCCTTCTCAAATGCAACCTAATAGCCCGAACACAATGAAAACGACGAGCTACGGACCACAGCTGTCAAATTATTTTAACACGTATTCTTATGTAGATAATTATTTTGGCGACGACGGAGCTACGCGACGACTGTGGTTGTGGCCAGCTTAGATCTATTTCTATTTTTCCAGCGACAGATAAGTTTCTTCCTCTTCTTTTATGTCAAATTCATACAAATTCATGATGTCGCTGGCGCGTTCATAAAATTCATGTAGCCATCGACAAAGCGTTTAGATAATAAAGATAACAAATTGGAAGCTGTAGCCCGCAGCTCGTCGTTTTCAATGTGTTCAGAACTTTACAAGGCAGGCGATTGACACAAATGTCAATACTTATCCAACCTTGTATTATTGAATCATGCTGCCTTATATGAAAAATTGCCCTTAAAATTTGACTACAAGGCAGCCGAATGTCAGATTATTACTTCACCTGTTTATTGCGCCATGGTTCCATGAAAACATTTTAAGGTTTTTCAGCAATATTTTCAACATATTAAAAAGCATGCAGACAAAATTCATTCAAAGGCGCTTTGGCCAATTTGCCAAGCAGTTATTGAAGATGACGCTTTCCCTATATTTTGTTAGACTTTTCATAAGTAAAAATACTTGTTTAATTGTATTTTTGGAATAAACAAAGTTCTTTTTTATTCTGTCAGTAAACTGTTTTTGTTAGAAATAGTATAAATAAGAAATGGGAAATAAGGCAAAATTTGTTTTATTTCCTACCTTTGTTGGAAATAAAGCAAGACTCAGATTTTGGTATTATTTCCCATTTAAAAGTGAAATAAAGCAAATTTTGCGTTGTTGCCGTTTGGGTTATTTATAGTATTTATATTATTTATATCATTCAAATTGATCAATTTCGTATAACTTGTGCAATTACAGTTTATATCTGGTTTTTTATAAACTCTAAGTTCCATTGGCTCGTCAACATCGGTTCGATAGCGTAGAATTTTCTTGATGGCACAGTCGCGCTTTTCTTTGCTATCATCAAACAACATTGATAACAAGATATTTTCCGAATGCGCATAATATGAATTATCTTTAATTACTTGATTGACAATTTTGCGTAAACGAGGTTCTAGAAATCGTGACCAACCAATGAACTTGAAAAATAATGCACTGCCGTACACGACAGAGCTGTAATACTTGATATTGAAGTAGATTGGCACATAACATTTAATTATAAATTCAACCAGAATTTCTCCTAATAAACAATCGTGGTACAAAGCTCAATAAAAATATTAAAAAT